ATGGAAAAGTTCGCTGGTTTTTCTGGCGTATTCTGGTTATCTTTCTCAGCTTTTAATGTTGCCAGGATAACGTGCATAAGTGGTATAACCATAGAAATGCTGTTCTTTGAGTTACTCAATTCTTTAGTAAGTTCTTCGAACGGTGTCAACAATTTTAACAACAATTCAATTGTTGACAAATCATCAGGAGAAAATGATACAAATTGCTTTGTAGTTAAGTATAAAAGTAAAGAATCCTTTATTTTAACAAAACGCTCCAACATGTAAAATGTGCTGTTCCACCTGAAATTAAAATTAATTACACAATTTCTGATTTATACAATCGTTGGCTTACCTAGTGGGACAATCTTGTATTGTTGACAATGGAGATTGATTCATTCTTATTTCTTGTATAGTTTGTAGTTCATCTTGTGCTACTAGGGAATGATTAAAATGTGTTGAAACTTTTTTCACCTTTTCAATTACTTCTTGAATCCATTCTTCCGATAAAATCACATTTTTAATACAACACTGTATTTGATGAATCACACAATTAAAATCATTTAAACCAGATATCTGCATTGCTTTAATCATGTTCCTACCACGACCGCGTACCACACAGTGAACACTATCGTGTTTTATACCCCATTCTTCAAGGATGGATTCAGTTTTTGTCGAAATAGCTTGATCCGGGTGACGTCCTTCCATTACTTCACATTTCAAAATAATTCTTACTCTTTCACAACCTTCGTTTACACCATGAGCAGTCACACTAACCAATGAAGTCCCAGAACTTGTATCTGACCAAACATCAGTTGTAAAGGATATTTTCTTAAGATCGTTTAATAATGCTTTAATTTTATTTGCCACGCTGTTATATAAATCGTCACATACAAGCGACGTAAAAAACTGACGGCCCCTTAATTTATATCCTGGAAGTATAGTATTGATCAATCGCCGAAAACCAACTCCTTCAACGAAGTTGAATGGCAAGTCTTCCAAAGCAATCATTTCGCCTATTAGTCGATCCGTATCTTTGGAGTTTGGATGTGGTAAATCCCAACATACATTCTGCGTTAAATATTCTTGCAAAGAAAGTTGTTTTGTAATTGAACCTGTATCTGTAGATGTGCTACAGGTTGGCGGGCCTTGTTCTGCATTTTCAGCTATACGTTTTTCTAACTCTTCAAATATTTTCGCGTGCTTCGACTTCAAATGATTTTTTAATGAAGATGTGGTACGCCCTTTTCGTGAATATTCCTTTTCGCAAATGTTACAACGAGCCACCGAACTGTTAATTTCCGAGAAATATTCCCAAATGAAGCTTGTTTTTGGTTTCATTTTAATTAATTTTATTTCGACAAACAACAAAACGAATCACGAACATGCATAAAACGAAGCATACAAGTTGCCGTCCGTTCAACAACTGATTGGCTTTAAGAATTAAGAACTTTAGTAGAACGGAGCGACATCGCGCTTATCTCACGTGTTCGTGCATGTTACAACATCTAGTTTTGAAAATGTAAAAAATCTAAATATCGAAAACTGTCACTACTATTTAAAAGTTATAATTAAATTATATGTCTCAAACTATTTAAAAAAATTAATTATTAATGCCGAACGTTGACCTGACCGGAGCACCGTTAAAATATATACTGATGCGGATCCTCAAAACGATGCGGATTATGCGCCGCAGCTGCTGATGCGGATGCGGATATCCGTTACATCACAGTATACAGGGGGTACCGTATTATACGTATACAGGTGTCTCACGTAAGGAACAAACTACATAAATGGCATTAACTTTCATAAACCCGTGGTCAAAAACTTACATACCGAGTGGGGTCCAAATGTACCCCAACATTTTTTTGGTTTATTATTATTTTTTTTTAATGTTATAATTAGGGAATATTAAAAATAAAACACATTCTGCTTATAAAAAAATATATTTTTACATAAACAAGTTGTCAGCATTCAATGAGTATACGCATTTTGAAAAAATAATATGAAATGATTAGAAATAATAAAAACAAAAATAATTATGAAGAAAGAACAAGCATTTTAGTGACATTTTAAAATTGGAGTGAAGTTAGCGACCACTTTTCAGCGACGGATTTTGTCAATTCCACCACGGTCGCAAATCCGTCGCTAAGATTAAAACGCACAGTGAAACGGATTGAACATAGAAAATATGATCATGTTGTGCTAAATGAATGTTACGAAGGTCACTACCTGCTGTTTATCCCAGAATAAATTTTGAAACTGCTAATAAAATAGGGTAAAAACGTCTCGGCTTTAAAAAGAAATAAAACCATCCCGTTAGCCGTGAGTTGCTGAGTTGAAATTTGGTGTGGATATAACTTCGACATCCCTAAGTTGATTTTCGTTAGAATTAGAGTGCTACAAATGGAGTGGTGCCAACCCATAATAAAAATAGGTGAAATTCGCTATGTTAGGTGAAAAAAAAAGAAAATCCACCCCTTAGCCGTGAGTTGCTGAGTTGAAATTTGGTGTGGATATGGCTTCGACATCCCTAAGTTGATTTTCGTTACAATTAGAATGCTACACATGAAAGGGTGTCAACCCCTAATAAAAATAGGTGAAATTCGCTATGTTAGGTAAAAAAAAAAGAAAATCCACCCCTTAGCCGTGAGTTGCTGAGTTGAAATTTGGTGTGGATATGGCTTCGACATCCCTAAGTTGATTTTCGTTACAATTAGAATGCTACACATGAAGGGGTGTCAACCCCTAATAAAAATAGGTGAAATTCGCTATGTTAGATGAAAAGAACAATGAAATCCACCCCTTAGCCGTGAGTTGCTAAGTTGAAATTTGGTGTGGATATAGCTTCAGCATCCCTAAGTTGATTGTCGTTACAATTAGAGTGCTACACATGAACGGCTGTCAACCCCTAATAAAAATAGGTGAAATTCGCTATGTTAGATGAAAAAAACCATGAAATCCACCCCTTAGCCGTGAGTTGCTGAGTTGAAATTTGGTGTGGATATGGCTTCGACATCCCTAAGTTGATTTTCGTTACAATTAGAATGCTACACATGAAGGGGTGTCAACCCCTAATAAAAATAGGTGAAATTCGCTATGTTAGATGAAAAGAACAATGAAATCCACCCCTTAGCCGTGAGTTGCTGAGTTGAAATTTGGTGTGGATATAGCTTCGACATCCCTAAATTGATTTTCGTTACAATTAGAGTGCTACACATAAAGGGGTGTCAACCCCTAATAAAAATAGTTGAAATTTGTTATGTTAGGTGAAAAAAAGAATAAAATCCACCCATTAGCCGTGAGTTGCTGAGTTCAAATTTGGTGTGGATATAGCTTCGACATCCCTAAGTTGATTTTCTTTAAAATTAGAGAGCTACACATGAAGGGGTGTCAACCCCTAATAAAAATAGGTGAAATTCGCTATGTTAGATGAAAAAAAAATATAATATATAAAACACATGAATGAAAATTATAACAGCCAAAATAACAATAGACGAGAAGCCAACAAATTTCAAAAAACTTTTAAAAATTGCAAGATTTAATGAAGATGAATGGAGAATGACAATACCAGATCATTATCACCAAAGCAATGGTTATGATTGTGGGGCATTCATAATCTATTACTTTAATCAAATCGTCAAAGAAAAGTCATGTATTGAAAAAATAGATTTTAAAAATTATAGATGTTCTCTTCAGGAAACAATTTTACAATATTCTGTGGACATGAACAAATATTGTTTTCTTTTTTGTGGGCAAAACAACGAATACAGTAGCTCCACCTGTTATAGTTGTAATAGAATGTATCACATCAAATATGCCTAGGGCGTCGAAGATTTTTACAAAAGCGACCAAACTTGTTATCTTTGTGTAAAATTTATCAACAAACACAAACAAAATTCTGCATAATCTACCAACTTTTAGGTAAAGGTATAATTTCTTAGTGTTTATTTTTTTTACCTTTCATATTTCAGTGATAACAGTACTAACACAATTATTTATTGTATTCGAACTGACTTTTTTAATTTATTTTCATATTTGTTTCTTTGTATTATATAAAGTTTTTGACTGTTATCATAGATACTTACTTTCATATAAAAAAATGTTCATGCTTGTGTTTTATACATAATATATATTATATTTTTTTCCATATAACATAGCGAATTTCAACTATTTTTATTAGGGGTTAACACCCCTTCATGTGTAGCATTCTAATTGTAACGAAAATCAACTTAGGGATGTCGAAGCTATATTCACACCAACTTTCAATTCAGCAACTCACGGCTAAGGGGTAGATTTTATTTTTTTTTCACCTAACATTGCGAATTTCAACTATTTTTAGTAAGGGTTGACACCCCTTCATGTGTAACAGTTTAATTGTAACGAAAATCAACTTAGGGATGGTCAGATTACTTCATATTTTTTAATTTTTTAAAACTATTATTATATTAAAGATTGGGTTCACTGATTCAACAAAACCTGTCCGATATTACAACTCAAAATTAAGGTTTTTCCAGTGAAAATAACAGCTGTTCTGAATTGTTTTAATTGTTGTAAGTACTAATTTTTAATATGAAACTTTAAAAGAACTAAAGCCGCAGTGATTAAATAAACATTTTAAGTACCTAGAACAATAAGAACAATTTAGAGCAACAAAAAATATGTGATTTTGCAAAATTAATGTCCGTGTTAAACGTAAAACACATCTAGAACAATTTGAATCGGCAAAGTTTGAGTTATTTTAGATTGTTCTATGTTTTTTAATTCTTATTGTGTAATATAAAACCGCTGACACAAGAATTACTGACTGAAACTTCCAAAAACTTTAATTTTCAAAGAGTAAAGTGCCCTTTAGAGATTTGTTCTAGTGAAAATAATAGCTGTTCCAGATTGCGTTAGCTATAATAAGTATATATTTCTAATATGGAATTGATAATAGAAAAACTATGGTCACAGCAATCAACTAGACATTTCGGCGGCCAAACCTATTTTCAATTATAACTTCGTAATGCTGTATCCCATAATTTTGATTTTCTAGAACAATAACTAGAACAACCCAGAACAACAATGAAAAATTTAAAAATCAAAAAATGAGGGGCTAACTTCCCGCACTCGCACAAAGCCGCTATTAAATAAATTGGAAATCCCCGAGAGCGTTGACGCCAAGAAACGGGGAATCCCCGTCGTTTGAACAATTTGGGGTTTATTTGTACCCCGGTTGGTTTTTAACGTAGGCAAAATTTATACCTGTCGTTACATACCGAGCGGAGTGCAGCTGGACCCCAAGCAACAAAACTCTCTATAATTAGTTACAATAAAAAGTATTCAAAATTTTGTATCTCAATTTAGATATATATTTAAGAAACATAGCTCGAGGGAAATTAAGAAAAAAAAATATTTTAAAAAATATACCCAAAAATTGAAACTGTATGGAATATCGAAAAAATAAAATATGCCACTCATTAAGAACACATCAGGCTACCACCTGTTCAAAATTCAATTTTTTTCGTACGATAGTTTTTGAGAAAAAAAATCACAAAGATGACAAAGTTGCCGGTACCGTAAAAAATCGGGTACTTTTTTCATTTAACTCGCGATAAAAGGAAAACCGTGGATCTGAAAATTTTCAAATTAACATATGTTCAGCGCCCTCCCTAGCGTTTACGTTACCCCGGACAAAAAGACAAACTACCGCCCTTTAAACATATAATGCCTTCCAAAAAGTCTGCATCAAATAATCAAACATATAAAGCTATGCTATCAAAAATGTATAGCTAATTTATTGATACAAACTTTTTGGCTGACACTGTACTGATATTTTTCTTTGGGATCTTGGAATCGGTTCATCTCGAGATTCGTATTTTTTTTTCTTTGTATGCGATGTCGTGGAATTGTTGATTCAAAGTTAGCTTCAATGTCAATTTTGGACAGCCAGTTCTCTTACATCAATTATACTTTCATTGAAAGACTTGTCCGATCGAAGAGCCTTAAAGATTTTTTTGCAATTTATTAAGAGGTCAAGTGCAGATGCTAGATCGAAATCTTTTGTTTGCATTAGTTTGCTTATAGGATTAATGCAGTTTAAGATTTTGTGCCAAGTTTTTGTTGCGTCGTATTCTTCTCCTATTTGAAATCGTAAAGTCTTTAAGGCCTCTATCCTACTCTCCCATCTAGTGGCACTCAATGGTTTCAAAGTTAATTCTTTAATATGTTTCAAAAGTATTGCCCACCGAAACGTAGATGATGAAAAAAAAAATATAGTTTCTGGATTATATTGAAGAAATTAGCGGCTACCGAAGAAGCTTTTGCTATATCATTAACCACTAGATTCAGTGAATGACTGCTACACGGAACGTAAAACGCTCGTGAATTTAAATTCTTAATTCTAGATTGCACTCCAGCTTTATCGCCTTTCATATTAGATCATCCATTATCATATCCCTGTCCTCTAACATCTTGCAAATTTAAACCCATATTAGTAAGTTCTTCAATTATGATTTCAGTCATTTGTTTTCCTGTGGACCTTTCAATGGGAAGGAAACCCAAAAACTTTTATTTCAGCGTCGTTGAAATCAGATTTATTGACTGTAACATATCGGAATATAAGAGTCATTTGCTCCACCTTACTTACGTCAGGAGTGCAATCTAAAATTATAGAATAGTATTTGGCCTTTTTTATTTCATTAATAATATGAGACTTCACATTTTGATGCAACAAGTCTATTTTCTCGTTTTGTATATTTTTACCGAGATAGTGGGCTTTCATCTCCTCTTTTTTGAGCACCCTTCGCACGTGTTCTTCCATAATGGGACCAAATTCAGACAGTAGTTCAACTATTTTTAGGAAGTTACCATTATTATGCTCAAATAGTTTATCTCTTGTACCTTGAAAAGCCAGACAACTTTTACCAAGCATTTTAATGATTCCTACGATTCTTAGAAGCACTTCATACCAATGGTTTGTATCAGCATTAATAATTTTTTGAGCAGTTGCATCTATAGTTTTACAACACTTTAGTCTTTGACTCAGTTCCAGCCATGATTTGTGAGCTTCAATATGATTTTTGAAACTTCGTGTTCTTTTAACGTTTCAACGATATGCTTCCAACTTTTAAAGCCGTCTTTTGAAAGAGAACTGATCACACAGCCGAAAATTTTACAGCAAAAGCAATAAATACAGTTTTTTGAAATAGAGAATAATCGACAAGCAGAAATTTCGATTAAATTAGATTATCAAAATTTTATCACATTCTGAGTCAAAATACCGCCCTTTAAAGCTGCCGCCCCGGACAAATGTCCGGATGGTCCGCCCCTAGAGCAGGCCCTGATATGTTACGTAAAAATGTTCAATGATTACAACAAACTTTGTCTATAAAATATCGATCACTGAAATGAGGGGCCTTGACTTTTTGCACGGATAGTAGTGTAATTTGCCAAGGGTGTTGTACTCTCCTTTTTTTAGAAATCATGTATCAAACTTAATAGACATAAATTCTTTCAACCTTAACTAACCAATATTTTTTTGCAAAAATAACGACTTTTGTTGTTTTATTTGTGACTTCTATAGTAGCATGTTCCTAAGGAATACATTATTTAAAAAATCACTTTTAAATTGCGAACATTTCTGACCGTAGTACCTAATATGATGTACGAGAACGATTTTTAACATTTTCAAAAATATGTCTATTACCTCAACTATTGTTAAGTCCTATTGTTCTTTATAATAAATATTACAACTTTATTATTAAATGATTTTTTTAAATATTTATTTTTAGTTCACAGAATTGGTAGAACTGGACGCTCGGGAAATAAAGGTTTAGCAACGACATTTATAAACAAATCGAATGATGAATCGGTTTTATTAGATTTAAAACATTTACTGATGGAAGCAAAACAAAAAGTGCCCACATTTCTGGCTGAGTTATGTTCTGAAAATGAGAAATATCTTAATTTGGGAGGTAATGACTCTTATTATTTTAAAGATTGTTTCGATAATATATTTTTCGCATTTTTTTAGATGAACGTGGTTGTAGTTATTGTGGCGGTTTGGGACATAGGATTACGGATTGTCCAAAACTGGAAGCTCTCCAAAATAAGCAAGCTTCTAATATTGGTAGAAGAGATTATTTGGCGAATACAGCAGCAGATTATTAAATATTAAAAAACTATAGATATTTAATTTTAAACTTTATTTAAAAAATTAATCGTTCAAAACTTAATATTTTTAACAAATACAATAATTTATGTAAGAAATTACAATAGTGTATAATTTTTTAAAAATAAATTGGTATAATTTAAAAATATTAAAAAAATATTTTGGAGTTTTTCCCCCAACTTTAAATTCTTTAAAAGAACCATATATATCTTTAAATGGAACATTTATGTTTTAACATTCACCATTTATTTGTATCATATTGTTACGTTTGATTTACAACAACTTTTTTGTTTGTTTTTGCGATGTTTAAGCCCCTCAAGAAGTTTCAACCTTATTCTCTCCATTAATAACATCAACATTTTTTTTTGATAAATCATCAAATTGATCGGATTTTTCATTATTTTCTTTTGGAGAAAATATAATTGCAATTATATTTACTTGCAATATAAAATAAGCCAATACAATATGTACAATGAGTTGCGCAACAAATAATATGATAATTGTTGTAAAAATTCTAAACCACAATATCAACCTATCAACAAAATTCACATCATTATTTTCTTCAACTTGTTGGCGTATAATAGTATGATGAGGCAGATGATTTGCCTTTAAAAATAATTTATTTTCACCTTCAATATGTTCTGTCATTAAAATCAACAATCTATCACATATGATGGTACCTTCTTTACATCCAATATGATCAAAAACTACAATAACAACAAAAGTAATTGTTTTAATCATATTTTTTTACTTAAACTTACATGCATAACATTCTTTTTTCGCGTCCTTTACGTTATGACCAGAGTTTAAAAAGATATCGAGCATTTCATGTTCACAATGGGCCCAATTATTAGAGCACTATAAATAAGGAAAATGATTCAAACACAAATATGGTAAATGAGCCCGTTAAATTCACCTGGAGAATATATGCATACATGCCAGCACATATATCATTACAGCGAACACACTGCTTATTAGAATTTACACTTGATGCTTCGATTATAATAATTGAAACAAAAAAAAGGGGCCATGTGTATAACTTAAACATTTTCACTGAATAATTCGGATTGATTCAACACGTAAGTTGCATTCTAATGCGACATCTTTATGTGTAGGTGGTTATAAGTATTGATTTTCATCAATTTATATGAGGAAATATATATATTTATACATACATATAAATATATAATGATATAAATTCAAATTTATAAGACAAAAAATATTGTATTAGTTCTATTATTACGTGTTTTTACCTAACTTCTTGAAAACCTCAAAAAAAAACGATGTAACATATTCTGCTGGTAAATAATTTATTATGTATTAATAACAGAAATTGAATATAATCTATAATAATCATTTTATCATATTTAGACATTAATTTCCACTAATAATAAATCTATTCATACGAAAATATCTTTTTCTTTAAAACCAAAAAGATATATTTTTCCAAGAGATATGAAGGAATTAGAACCTTGTGATGATAAAGAGTAGATTCGTTTTCTAGCAAATTTAAAAGCAATAAATCATTTAAGCATTTTTAAGAATCTTGATTTGATATGTATTAAATTGTTGTTTAATGATGAAACTTAAAGATTCTAGTTTATGATATAATATAGAAATTATAAGATAATTTAATATCTCTTCATATGATATGTATGTTAAATTGTAGCTTAAAGATTCTGGTTTATGATATGATACAAAAACGATAAGATAATATTATTGAAATTTTCAGGAAAAAATATTAAAGAAGGAATTGTCAAATTTATGAATAAAAAGTTATACGAAATTTTCAAAAAATCATATCGATCTTATTTTTAAGGATCTTGATATGATAGATATGTTAAATTGTGGCCTAAAGATTTTAGTTTATGATATGATATACAAACTGTTAGATAATATTAATGAAATTTTCAGGAAAAAATTATTAAAGACGAAATTGTCAAATTTATAAATCAAAAATATTACGAAATTTACAAAAATTCATATCAACTGTATGTTTAAAACTCTTGATATGATATGTATGTTAAATTGTAGCTTAAAGATTCTAGTTTATGATATGATATAAAAACGATAAGATAATATTATTGAAATTTTCAGGAAAAAATTATTAAAGAAGGAATTGTCAAATTTATGAATAAAAAGTTATACGAAATTTTCAAAAAATCATATCAACCTTATTTTTAAGGATCTTGATATGATATGTATATTAAATTGTAGCTTAAAGATTCTAGTTTATGATATGATATAAAAACGATAAGATAATATTATTGAAATTTTCAGGAAAAAATTATTAAAGAAGGAATTGTCAAATTTATGAATAAAAAGTTATACGAAATTTTCAAAAAATCATATTAACCTTATTTTTAAGGATCTTGATATGATATGTATGTTAAATTGTGGCCTAAAGATTTTAGTTTATGATATGATATAAAAACTGTTAGATAATATTAATGAAATTTTCAGGAAAAAATTATTAAAGAAGAAATTGTCAAATTTATAAATCAAAAATATTACGAAATTTACAAAAATTCATATCAACTGTATCTTTAAAACTCTTGATATGATATGTATGTTAAATTGTGGTTTAAAGATTCTAGTTTATGATATGATATAAAAAGGATAAGATAATATTATTGAAATTTTCAGAAAAAACTTATTAAAGAAGGAATTGTCAAATTTATGAATAAGAAGTTATACGAAATTTTCAAAAAATCATATCAACCTTATTTTTAAGGATCTTGATATGATATGTATATTAAATTGTAGCTTAAAGATTCTAGTTTATGATATGAAAATATTACGAAATTTACAAAAATTCATATCAACTGTATGTTTAAAACTCTTGATATGATATGTATGTTAAATTGTGGCTTAAAGATTTTAGTTTATGATATGATATAAAAACGATAAGATAATATTATTGAAATTTTCAGGAAAAAATTATTAAAGAAGGAATTGTCAAATTTATGAATAAAAAGTTATATGAAATTTTCAAAAAATCATATCAAACTTATTTTTAAGGATCTTGATATAATATGTATGTTAATTTGTGGTCTAAAGATTTTAGTTTATGATATGATATAAAAACTGTTAGATAATATTAATGAAATGTCCAGGAAAAAGTTATTAAAGAAGAAATTATCAAATTTATAAATCAGAAATATTACGAAATTTACAAAAATTCATATCAACTGTATCTTTAAAACTCTTGATATGATATGTATGTTAAATTGTGGCTTAATGATTCTAATTTATGATATGATATAAAAATGATAAGATAATATTATTGAAATTTTCAGGAAAANGGTCATTAATGACTACAGATTAGTTTTTAACGTCAAATGGTTTTTCCAATAGGTACTTTTTAATAATTTTTTGTTATAATCAAATTTTATCAACAATTAAGACTGTTTGACACGATAATTCATTTAAAATACTCTATTTTTTAATTCGGAGGAGTGTTTTCAAATTGAAGCGCCAAAAAGAAGGGTTCAGACGCACGGCTAAACCCGAAACTTTCTAGTTCTAGGTCTAGTGTTAATTCTAGTTTTAGTTCAATAAAAATATGCAACATAGTAATATCTTATGCTAACTTGCGCTACCTATTACTGCCACTAGAACTAACACTAGACCTAGAACTAGAAACATTTGGGTTTAGCCGCAGGTCCCTCAAGACGGCTAAACCCGAATGATTCTAGTTTTTGTGTTAATTCTAGTGATAGTGCTAGTGTAAAACTAGAACTAACACTAGACCGAGAACAAGAAACATTCGGGTTTAGCCGCACGTCTCTCAAAACGGCTAAACCCGAATAGATAATATTAAGATAATATTATTAAAGTTTCCAGGCAAAAATTATTAAATAAGGTATTGTTATATTTATTAAATATTTATTAGATACAAATAATACGAATTTTTCAAAACAATCATATCGAATATATTTTTAAGAATCCTGATATGATGTGTATGTTAAATTGTACCTCAATCATTCTAGTTTGTGATATGATTGAAAAACTATAAGATAATATTATTGAAATTTTCAGGAAAAAATTATTAAAGAACGAATTGTCAAATTTATGAATAAAAAGTTATACGAAATTTTCAAAAAATCATATCAACCTTATTTTGAAGGATTTTGATGTGATATGTATATTAAATTGTGGCCTAAAGATTCTAGTTTATGATATGATATAAAAATTACAAGATAATATTACTGAAATTTCCAAAAAAAAATTATTAAAGAAATTGTCAAATTTATAAATCAAAAATATTAGGAAATTTACAAAAATTCATATCAGCTGTATTTTTAAAGATCTTGATATGATATGTATGTTAAATTGTGGCCTAAATATTCTAGTTAATGATATGGTATAAAAACGATAAGATAGTATTATTGAAATTTCCAGGAAAAAGTTAATCTTGATGTGATATGTATGTTAAATTGTGGCCTAAAGATTCTAGTTTATGATATGATATAGAAATTACAAGATAATATTATTGAAATTTCCAAAGAAAAATTATTAAAGAAATTGTCAAATTTATAAATCAAAAATATTACGAAATTTTCAAAAAATCATATCAACCTTATTTTTAAGGATCTTGATGTGATATGAATGTTAAATTGTGGCCTAAAGATTCTAGTTTATGATATGATATAGAAATTACAAGATAATATTATTGAAATTTTCAGGAAAAAATTATTAAAGAACGAATTGTCAAATTTATGAATAAAAAGTTATACGAAATTTTCAAAAAATCATATCAACCTTATTTTTAAGGATCTTGATGTGATATGTATGTTAAATTGTGGCCTAAAGATTCTAGTTTATGATATGATATAGAAATTACAAGATAATATTATTGAAATTTTCAGGAAAAAATTATTAAAGAACGAATTGTCAAATTTATGAATAAAAAGTTATACGAAATTTTCAAAAAATCATATCAACCTTATTTTTAAGGATCTTGATGTGATATGTATGTTAAATTGTGGCCTAAAGATTCTAGTTTATGATATGATATAGAAATTACAAGATAATATTATTGAAATTTCCAAAAAAAAATTATTATAGAAATTGTCAAATTTATAAATCAAAAATATTACGAAATTTACAAAAATTCATATCAACTGTATTTTTAAAGATCTTGATATGATATGTATGTTAAATTGTGGCCTAAAGATTCTAGTTGATGATATGGTATAAAAACGATAAGATAGTATTATTGAAATTTCCAGCAAAAAGTTATTAAAGAAGCCTTTGTCAGGATAAAAGCCAATACGAAATTTTCAAAAAATCAAATTGACTGTATTTTCAATAATCTTGCTATGATATGTATGTTAAACTGTAACTTAATTATTCTAGTTTATGATATAATGTAAAAACTATAAGATAATATTATTAAAGTTTCCAGAAAAAAATTATTAAAGAAGGAATTGTCAAATTTATGAATAAATTATACGAAATTTTCAAAAAATCATATCAACTTTATTTTTAAGGATCTTGATATGATGTGTATGTTAAATTGTGGCCTAAAGATTCTAGTTAATGATATGGTATAAAAATGATAAGATAGTATTATTGAAATTTCCAGGAAAAAGTTATTAAAGAAGCCTTTGTCAGGATAATAACCAATACAAAAAATCAAATTGACTGTATTTTCAATAATCTTGCTATGATATGTATGTTAAACTGTAACTTAATTATTCTAGTTTATGATATAATGTAAAAACTATAAGATAATATTATTAAAGTTTCCAG